ATTTTTTTTTATTTTTTTTTCAGCATTGCAAGGAACAATCCTGGAGTGGTTAATTTCAATGTATTTTATAATGAAATGCAAAATTAAATACACTGTTTATACTAGCTGTTGTTAATGAAGGGGTTAAGATTAATACTGGAAAGTGATTGGTGTGCACGGAGACATTGTAAGATACCATTTAATATTTAATCCAGCTGCAGGTCACTCACAGGGACAGTAAACATTGTTATCTTTGACAAAGTTTTACTCTTCTTAGTTTTGGATCAGGTAAAATTGGACATATTCACTTACCTATAGATACATCAAATTCACTCTTAGATCATAATCATTAAAGATAGATATTATTATTATTATTGCCATTTATATAGCGCCAACAGATTCAGCAGCAGTTTACAATATTATTAGAGGGGGAATTTAACTATAAATAGGATAATTACAAGAAAAACTTACAGAAACGATAGGTTGAAGAGCACCCTACTCAAACGCCCTTACAGTCTATAGGAGGTGAGGTGTAAAACACAATAGGACAGGAAATGGCATTCAAATAAGGTGGGAATGAAACAGCTGGAGGAGAGTCGAGTGCTGCTCTTTAGGAGAGAGCAAGAGACAGGAATGTGAGGTAGAGGTTAGTCTGGGAAGCCATAAGTTATCCTAAAGAGATGGGTTTTAGGGCACTTCTTAAATGATTGATGACTAGGGGAGAGTCTGATGGTGGTAGGCAGGCTATTCCATAGGAAAGGAGCCACCCGCGAGAAGTCCTGCAAGCGTAAGTTGGCCATACGGGTGCGAGCAGCGGACAGGAGAAGGTCATGGGCAGAACAGAGAGACCAAGAAGGGGTATACATATGGATCTGTAAAGAGATATAAGAGGGGCTAGAATTGGTCAATACTTTATAGGTATGGGTTAGCACTTTGAATTGACTCCTATAGGATACAGGAAGCCAATGTAAGGACTGACAGAGGGGTGAGGTGTGAGAGGACCGACAAGCGAGGAAAGTCTTGTGGCAGCATTCATTACAGACTGTAGCGGGGCAATACGGTTTTTGGGAAGACCAATTAGGAGAGGGTTACAATAATCCATGCGGAAAATTGCTAGAGCATGGACAAGCTCCTTAGTAGCATCTTGCGTAAGAAAGGGGCGGATGCAGACTATGTTTTTAAGATGGAATCTACAGGATTTGGTAACATGCTGGATGTGAGGTCAGAATCAAGTATAACACCAAGACAGCGCGCTTGTAAGGATGGACTGATGTGGATACCACTAACTTGAAGGGAGAGTGAAAGAGGAGGATCAGTATTAAGAGGTGGAAAGACAAGGAGCTCAGTTTTAGAGAGATTAAGTTTCAGAAAGTGGGAGGACATCCAGTCAGAGAAGGAAGAAAGGCAAGCAGTGACACGTTGCAGAATGGCAGGGGAGAGGTCCGGGGAGGAGAGATATATTTGGGTGTCATCAGCGTAATGTGGTAGTGGAATCCAAATGAGGTAATATGTTTGTCAAGAGAGGGAGTATAAAGAGAAGATAGAATGGGACCAAGAACAGAGACTTGGGGGACTCCAACTGAGACAGGACGAAGGGAGGAGGTATCATTATAAAAGGAAACACTGAATGAGCGTTGGGAGAGATAAGAGGACAGAGTCAGAGAGACTGATTGATTGAAGGGTTTGAAGAAGGAAAGCATCATCAATGGTGTCAAAGGCAGCAGAAAGGTTGAGAAGAATTAGTATGGAGTAGTGGCCTTTGGATTTAGCTGCGATTAGGTCGTTAGTAACTTAGATGGTGGAAGCCAGACTGAAGAGGGTCAAGGAGAGAGTTGAAATTGAGGAAGTGAGACATATGGGTAAAGACAAGTTTTTTTCCAGAAGCTTTGAGGAAAAAGGGAACAGGGATATGGGATGATAGAGGGGGAGGACAGGTCGAGAGATGTTTTTTTCAGGATATATACTACAGTGAGATGTTTAAGGTCAGCAGGTACAATGCCAGAAGAGAGAGAGCAGTTGAAGATGTGTGTTAAGGAAGGCACAAGACAAGGGGAGAGAGACCTAATAAGGTGAGATGGGACAGGATCAAGCGGGCAAGTGGTGGGGAAAGAGGAAAGGAGAAGCACATCCACCTCTTGTTCAGTAGCCGGGGAGAAAGTCTGAAGGGTAGGAAAGGCATGAATTACATGTGGTTGAGAAAGAGAAAGGCACAGTGGGGAGAGTTCTTTCCTTAGCTGATCAATCTTGTCGGTAAAGTAGCATGCAAAGCTATCGGCTGTAAGGTTAGTTTGAGGGGTGGTCACAGCAGGTGTCAGAGTTAAGGTGTCAGAGAGATGCCTGGGATTGCGGGAGCATGAACGAATAAGAGAGGAACAGTATGACTATTTGGCGAGGGAATCTATAATGGAGAAATTCTGACTGGGTGCGAGACTTCCTCCAGGAGTATTCAGCACAATGGGAGCATCTTTGCACGTAGCGTGTTGATTTAATATGCCACAGTTAGGGGTGTGTCCTCCTTGAGGTGCATGTTTTGGAGTGGGGCTGCAGTGTCCAGGGCAGGGGTTAGGGTAGTGTTATACGTGGAGATGGCCAGTGAGTGATAGGAAATGAAAGGGATGGATAGGAGTTGTGAATCAATATCAGCTGACAGATGTTGGAGGTCAATAGAATTAAGGTTCCTCCTGAGTTGAGGGGGGTTAGGCTGAGGGGGCACTTGAGAACAAACAATAAGAGGTGGTGATCAGAGAGAGGAAATGGAGTGTTGCAGATATTATATACCGTACATGCATAATAAAAAATGAGGTTGAGGGTATTGCCAGCTACATGGGTGGGAGAATTAGCCCACTGCGATAGATAGATAGATCTGGTATTCACTGAGCAGCTAAAATCCTCGATTCACCATATAAGGTTGGTACATTATCTTTCTACTTTGTTTGCGGACTTAATTGAAAATTGCAGTGTAAGCTGCAGAGTTCAGCTGTGACTGACAGGCTTGTGGAGGATTCATACCAAATATCCAGAAATCTGGGATGAAAAAAATAAAATGTGGGGTGCCATGAGCTCTGTTTAAATGTACACTCCAATGTTAAAAAACAAACACAATACCTCAATTGTGATCTACTTACCAAGGCAAATACAGTGTTATTCACTAAGTGAAAACGCAAAGTGAATTCAAGGTAAATTTCAAATTTAAGGTAAAATACTCAAGCTGGAAAGATTCTCAGCTATGCTTTCAGTTCAACTACTCTGGGCTTAAATTTGAAATTCACCTTGCATTATCACTTTATCACTTTAGTAAGGAAACCTAACATTGCAAAGCAGAATTCCATCCTTTCAGAAAGTTTGTTTAAAATAATGTTTTGTTTTTTTTAATATATTCTTTATTTTTGTTGTGCACAAGACAACAAAGAATCTAGTAATGCCACAATAGCAAGTACAAGAGCATCAAATCACATAAGAAAATACTTTGCATAATGTCATATACATTTTATGAATGTTGCATTATCATTTTGATGGTACTGTACAATTTTATAAGATAATAGAGAGATCAGGCTAGGCAAACATGTCTAAGTGCAAAGTTTTGTGAAGTAAAATGAACAAGAGTAGCAGGCATTTCTGATATGTCTAACTGTTAGATATAAAGCAGACCATTCCTAAATAACCTAGGCAATTAAGTAAAATGTAGATCATATCTGCAGTTATGCAATATTAGTTAGGCATGTAGGTAAAAAACTGAAATAAACTATCAACCATGCTAAACTATGCTTTTGTGGTGAGGTAAATCCTTAATAATAGGCTAGATTTAAGATTGCATGCTGGTAATTACATTTTTTCCACTGGCACCGGGAAGCCTTATCAAGAGAGCATTCTATGTCCTATACGAGAATTTTTTTTTTTTATATATAAAAATTAAATAAAAACATTAGAGTAAGTCCTTGAAACATGAGACAATGTATCTGCAGGAGTCTGTCATCCGATTCCCACTACCGGGAGACACCTGAATCCCACAGACGGGCAACGAGAGGCTGCTGCAGAGCAGGTTTGAGGTAGTGCGTCCCTCCAGCCCCAGGCTGATGAATACGTCGGCATCTGAGCCACAAACCAGGTGACTCCCTGAGCCCAAGTTTCCTCCGCGTATGGGAGTGCAGGAGGGCCTGATGATTGGTTGCAGCTTGCGGTGTGTGGACCTCCGTTGGTGTGGAAGATGCTTCTGTTTATTGACCCTAGAGGCCTTCAGCTCAGGTAGGCTAGTGAGAGGTAGAGTATGTGTGTGTGTACAGATGCTGCTCCCGATGGGGGCCCTCTGATTCCCTGCCAACTGCCTTTCCGATCATTCGGCACTGGCAGGGGTGTTATCTGCTCCATAAGTTAAAATTGCAAATATGAAGCCTCCTGTCCTGCCATAAAATTAGGGATTATTCTAGCCTTGGTGAGGGAATAATCTAAATTGTATTAAAGAGGGGAGGCAAATATTCTCCCCCCCCCCTCCACCCACTTACTGTTCTTCCCACCCTGGATTTGTTTTTTTGCCTTTGTGTTAATCAGGGTTTTGGTTGTATTCTCTGCAATGTATGGTCTAATGTTTTCTTAATAAACACAATTTCGTTACTACGATTGGTGGTCAGTGTGCATTTATTTATCAGATTGTATTCTATTAATGCGCTGATTGTGTATGGTGTGACATTCTGCTCTGGTAATCTAGTGTAATCTAAAGTTGTTCTGGATATGGCGGTTTCTCATCTGAGTGTGCTGGATACAGTTTTTCGTTTGGTCTTCATGCTCTCCTTCTTGACCTCATCAGAGAAAGAGTAAGTGGGAGGGTCTGCCTAAGTGACTTTATATTGATGCCTGTTTGTTCTGATTGGTTGTTTTGAAAAGTTCTGTTAACTGTTTCTTTGCTGCTGGAGGTTTCAGTAAAGAAGGTAAAGCAAATATTCGCCTCCTGTCTTTAATAAAATTTAGATTATTCCCTCACCAAGGCTAGAATAATCCCTAATTATACATGTTGATTTTTTTTTCCCCCTTAATGCCGGAGACAAAATTTCTCTCAAAATATTTTGGATTTTACCATTGCATACAATGTAACCAACTGATACCATTCTCAGTGTTAACAAATTAGAAAAGCATGTCATTTTTTGTCATGCACGTAGAGACTTGTGGGAAAATCCTGATGACCTCTTTTTCTGACACAGCAGGTTTATCATTCCAATGAAGTAGATATCTATTTAACTTGTTTGACTGCAAGACTTCTTTTGACTTGGAATCTGTATGTACTTACAATGTGCCCATCTAGTAGGCTGTAGTAGTTTTGATGCCATGAGTGACCTAGAGCCCTCCCAAGGAAAGTATTCTAACTGTTGGATTTGACAGCTTTTATTTAATTATTGCAACATCTTCTGCATCAGGAATGTTCTGCATGGAGCTAGGCCCAGTGGTGCAGGGATGTGTTTATTGACTGGGAATGCTCAGCTAACACTCTCAGACAACAAACAGGCCCTGCGCAGCAGGTTTAGCACAGATGAATTAGCAGAAACTTCTCACAGGAGATTCCAGTTCCATAGAAGGTGGTGCTAGGTGTTTAGGGACCCCATGCAAGTTGTCAAACTATCTTCAAACAGTTTAACTACTCATAGTGGGAGGGAGCCAGATTATTCCTATAACCTGGAGTGCTCCTTTAAAAAAATATATATATATTAATATTCTATTTGTATTCCCTCTGGAGATTTACTTTAGGAGATTTGAGCATGGTTTACACATTGTTACTATAATGTATTTACTTTTCTCATAAGGTCTTGCGATTTATTAATGTGCACCAACTATTTGCTTAGATTGTATAATTCTAATATAATTCCAATATATTCATGATTTCTTTCATCAGTATTCTTTACGTATTCACTACAGGCTGTAGTGGTTATGGTGCTCAAAGTGACTAAGTCCGAAGCCAAAGAAAAGGCAAATAGAGAATTTCCAATTTCCAAGACCAAAGTAGCTGGAAGCAAGACTGACGTGGACATTTTTTTTTCTATTTTGACCTTAAATCTCTAATTTACTTTGGATACCTGACAATGCTCATTTTAGTGAATAACTCTGAGTGTATCAAATTATAATTATGAGTAATTCACACAAAGAAAATCTTCAGACAGTTATAGATATATGTTAAAAAATGTAAACTTTTTTACAATTTTTTTTTTTTTTAAAAGTAGTAGAGACTGAAAATAATTGGAAGTTACTGACTGGTGATAATGCTCTTAGTTTCACAATAAAAAGGTAATCATTTAAAACATGTTAAATTATAGTTGACATTAAAGAAAGACAAGGTATGCATGTAATTGTAAAAAGGTGAAACGTTAATAATTTTAATTAATTGATCATTCTTTAAACATGTTCTTTATTTTTAAATTCACATTCAAATGATTATTGTTAAATATTGCGGTAAAAGAAATAGGAGGAGAATTAATGTATATGCTATTGCATAATGGGAAAAAAAAACCAATGGGATTACGTTAGAACTGTTTATTACAGGGTGGCAACATGCATTTAAAAAAATAAAGATAGACAACAAAACCCTTCTTTCTTATGAAACCCTGCACGTTAGTGTCTAGAAATTATTAAATTTAAACATGCATATGACATTCCCAGGGGCCTAGCAACTGCAAACTATAGTGGGGTTTATTCACTAAACACCAATTTGCAGTGAATAGTAAACAAACTTAACTGATTTGGGGAGATTCTCAAAGTCGGCTATAGTCACAACTTGCTTGCTTTTTGGTTAACTATAAGAATGTGTTTAGTGAATAGGGGCCATGTTTACTGTAGCAGAGATAAAATATTGTGGGGTTTGACAAAGTCTTATTTTTTTTTTAGCCCAAATGGTAAAATTTTGACTAAAACAGCCAAACTGTGAGTAGAGCAAGGATGTATTTTTTTTATCAGCTATCTTTACAATTAAAAAACAACCCCCCAAAAAAAAATAGACGTCTTTATTCACTAAAATACAAATTAGTGATTATTTTTGTAATTGCAAAAAATTTAACTCAAAACTTTACTGATCTGTAATAAATAAATAAATGCATAGCTCTCCAATTCTGCTATAGTTCCACCTAGGCTAATTTGGAATCAATGTCACACATTTTGAGTCACTATTTAGTGATTAAACCCCCTCTGTTACTTTTAGAGCCCTGTAACTCTGACCAAGCAAATCAATTTTTCATTTTTTCTATTCTGGTCTGTTTATGAGAACAGTAACTGAGTATACATTCCCTCCCTTTATGTAATGTTTCCCTGTCCCTTTAATTCCTCTATGTACATGTTGCAGCACTAGGAGCTAGCTGTGTGACTGCCAGCAGAGTCTAGCTGCCTCCCAGCAGCTATAGGGAGTGGGAGGGCCAAGGTGAGAGCTCACTCTGAACTTCATTCTTTTCTAGCAATATGTCGGAAGACGAAGCGGACTTTGTGAGAGAGAATCCCGAACTGAACCAGTTGCCCGATCACGCTCCGGTAGTGAAAGAAGCCATTAAGATTCTAAGGCAGAAGGCTGAGGCTGAGAGTGGTCTCTGGCCCCTCGGGCTATCAGATGACTTCTTACTGAGATTTCTGAGAGCCAGGGACTTCTGCCTGGAGTTGGCCTTCAAGGTATGTTAATGATAACCTGCATTAGGGGTCTTCATACAGGACAGTGAGTCATGTTTATGGTTGCAAGATCTGCAAGTTGTGCGATCTGTCACTTGATACACCAGCACTGTGTGATCGCACTGATATCACTTCATGCAGGCTGTACAACACACAGTTGTACATGTTCTGTAGTAAGGGATACTTTCTTACTACTTGGATTCCTTTGCTATCAATGAATCTCATTTGTTTTTTTAATTTTCAAAATGTGTGTGAGATTATTAATTTTTAAATATAAAAAAATCTAAACAGAAAAAAAAAAGATATATATTTTTTTAAGATTCATGGTATGTGTGAAATGTATGTGCAGCGAATTCATTTATTTTTGTATTTAGAAGTTTAATAGATTTTTATGAAGTAAATTAACCCTCTAACGGAGCAGTAGTTACTCTTGCAAAACCTGGTGCAGAGACAATTTTCTCAATTTTTACGAATGCCCTCTCTCTGGCCGTAATGTGCGTCTGACTTCTGCGGTGCAGATGTCGATCCTAGGAATATGCACAGAACTGACAATAGTAACCTGCAGTTCCTTTCTGGCTAATTATGTCCAAGTGACACAGCCTGATGTAGAATTACACATCTGGCAGCAAAGGGATTAATTAAACTTTGTGAATGCCTCGTTTCATAGCAAAACGCTATGTATACAGATTCTAGGCACCATGACCACTTCAAATCCCTTTAATGCAATGTTTCACTAGACTTTTTAATAGTGTGACAGCTACTTAGTCAGTTCCAAAAACACTGACTCCATGCCATCAGCCTGAGCCAGGATGCAACTGAACCAGAACTCCGCACCAGGTCCATGAAGTACAAAGAGGTTCAGTCTCATGGGGCTTCAATAAATTACCGCTCTGAGCCTTGGAAATAGAAACAAATCTAAATACATATTCATGTTTGCGATATATCTGAGGGATTGATTCACTAAAATAATTTTGAGATTATAAAATATGTTCAAATAGTGAAATGAATTAACATTCTTAACTTTAATTGAACTGTGGATTGTGGTTTTTCATGTTGCTTACATTAAAAAAGCAATAAGTGGAAATATTTGGAAAATTGCATATAGTTATGCAATATATTGCAATATATTTTTTTTCCTATATTCTTGCTGTTTTACGGCATTGTGGTTTTGGATTTGCCAGTGAAACCTCATATTAGAAATATGGCAATCTTTTCAAATATACCAGTAACAATGCATTGAAGATTTTACTTGGCGTGCAACTAAATGACAGCTCGTGCAACTAAATGACAGCTCATGCAGTTATTGGGAATGTTCAACTTATTGTTAGATATTAACTAGCATATTTAAAATATTTGGTCAAAATAACCACATTGGCAAAATGTTTCCAAGTCAGCTACTTCACCATCTCCGCTAAATTGGTGTGAATTGTATTGGATTGTCCGTTCCATCTAATTCTTGGTTTAGTGAGAAACAGCATTATTGTTGTTGTTGTTGTTGTTGTTGTTCTTGTTGTTGTTGTTGTTATTATTAATTATTAATTATAATTTCAGATTGTTTTTCCTCTTCTCAGTGAGTAAATATGATTCTATTCTTCTGTACTAAAAAATGTAACCATTTTGTTTAACATTGAGGGCCTGATGAATAAATCATAATACATTATAAAACAGTAATTCTACAAAAATTTCTAATTGCGCTGATTGAGGCATAGTACATATATCCTGAAAAACCAAATAAACACAAAGTGGCCAAGCCTAATCACTGAGTGATCTTTGCCACCTTTACAGTATTTGTTGGTCTTTTTTAATTGTATCAAAAAAGACTTTCATTTCATGGAATGTGGCAAGGCATATGCCTATTTGGGACATTTTAGGGGACTTTATGACCAGAAGATACCCATTTATATAATTGTAAAATTAATTTACAACCGGAGTTGAAAGTACCTTAATTACACCAACTGAGTTCTAGACACATTTTTATTGTAGTAAGTTTAATTGTTGTGAAGTGGTATAAGAATGTAGAACTTCTAGAAAAGAGATGCATTATAAATAGAAAATCAAGACTGAAAGTTTTGGCCTAGAGTAGGGACTGTCCCTCCTAAAGGGGGATGGTTGGAATGTATGCATTTCGAAAATAATGGGTGTAGGGCACTTCTTTCCTGATAACAAGGCAAGTACATGTTAGGGTTTTTCCTCTTAGTGACAAACACTCGCAAATGAAGTTGATTGCTTGAATGGGTTAAAAAAAAGAGCATAAGGTAGAAATTAATGTAAACTCTGTGGTGCTGCATGCACAAACCATGTATGTGCATGCGCACATGTAGGGTGTAATGCTAAGGTGTGAATAGCCTTATGAGAAGATTGTGTCAGTCAGGTTATATAAATGCTGTGGAGGTAAGTTTGTTTTATACTTACCCCTGCTGCATACCATGCGCTAGCAAGTACTTCAGTAGTTTTTAATGGGGTGAGAAAATCATGAACTGTTACTAATACTATTATTCTTTGCACTGTAGTGGTTATAGTGCCAGGAGTCCCCAGGTGCCATCATTTCAAATGGTCTGACACTTGTCTAGGCCCTTCTGGACATCTAAAATCTGGCATCTCTTTTCAGATATCGCTGAAGTAGAAATT